CCTGGGCTCAGGCCCTTTCCGGGAAAAAACATATGGTTCCAGCTCGGGACCACCATGTTAGATACCCTCCTGGGTGGCCTGCACACGTAAAAACACATGATCCAGCCCACCCAGGGGGGATATCTAACATGCGGTCGTCTGGAGCACAGGAGGGCCCAGGAACGCCCAGAGGCGCCTGGAGGCCAAAAAATAAACGAATCGATACCAAATACAAATAAACTCTCGACGTTCCGTTCCGAGTCCCCAGAAGGATCCAGGAGGCCCATGTTAGATACCCCCTGAGTGGCCTGGACACGTGAAAACACGTGGTTCCAGCTCGGGACCACCATGTGGCGTGGGCACGTGAAAACACGCGGCTCCAGCTCGGGACCACCATGTAGATACTCACCTGGGTGACCTGCACACGTGAAAACACGTGGTTCCAGCGCGGGACCACCATGTTAGATACCCCCTGGGTGGCCTGGACACGTGAAAACACGTGGTTCCAGCTCGGGACCGCCATGTTAGATACCTCCTGGGTGGCTTGGACACGTGGTTCCAGCTCGGGACCACCATGTTAGATACCCCCCTGGGTGGTGTGGACACATGAAAACACGCGGTTCCAGCTCGGGGCCACCATGTTAGATACACCCTCTGGGCGACCTGGGCACGTGAAAACACGTGGTTCCAGCTCGGGACCACCATCTTAGACACCCCCTACGTGACCTCGACAGGTGAAGCACGTGGTTGCAGCTCGGGACCAACATGTTAGATACCCACCTGGGTGGACTGTACATGTGAAAACACATGGCTCCAGCTCGGGACCACCATGTTAGATACCCACCTGGGTGCCCTGGACACGTGAAGCGACCTGGTTCCAGCTCGGGCAGAACATGTTAGATACCCACCTGTGTCGCCAAGGAAATCCTAGAAAAACAAACGAATTAGTCGAGACATCCTCGAAATTCCTGCGCGCGGGACGCGGCACGCGCGAGACATCCTCGGAATTCCTGTGAGCGGGACGTGAAAACGAGCATTTCGCCTGAGACATCCTCTGAATTCTGGCCCCCCACGAAGCCCCCGCTCGAGACATCCCCCAACTCAGCAAAACCAGCGTTTCCCTCGAGACATCCTCAACAAATTCTGAAAAACAAGCGTTCCGCCTGAGACGTCCTCAGAATTAATTCCGCCGGCCCTCTTCCCACACGTAATTTATCGCAGAATAGTTCCGCCGGCCCTCTTTCCGTCGATTCCGGGGGCAAACGGCTAAAAGAGAACCCTAAGCTCAAGCCCTTTCCGGGAAAAGACTCGAGGGGGAAACCAAAAAAACCTCTGAGGGAAAACACAAAGAACAAACAACAGACTCGAGGCCCCCGGGCCCCCCCTGGCCCCCACGAGGGAAACAAAAAGACTCGGGTAAACAAAAAAACCTCCGAGGGAATCAAAAACATACCGGAGGCACCCGGCCCCCCCCCGCGGCCTCCCCCCCGGAGAAAAAGAAAGGAAGACTCCCAGACACCCCCGACGACACCCCGAGGGGGATAATAAACATGATCGACCCACGAACCCGGAAAGGAATATAGACATGTAAGGCATGGCAACGTTTTCAAAGACACCTGATTGGGTGACGGGCAAATGCAATGCTGAGTGTATCGATCTTGATGTACCGTGCCGAGGGCTGTGCTGTGCTGCACCGTGCTGAATTGCGATGTGCCATGCCGCGGTTGTGCTCCATAGCGTCGTGGATCGAGTCTTCCTTTGCATCCGAGTCCTGACCGAACTGATCTGGATCTGAAGCTCGAGCTGCCTGAACACATAGTAGCTGCCCCAGAGCTAATTGACAGAGGGACATGCCAGGAGGACGCGACGCAGAACGTCTCAAGGGACGTGCCAGGCGACGTGCCAAGGGACGTGCCATGGGGTCGCACCGTAGGACATGCCAAGGGGACGCGCTACGGGACATCCTCAAAATTCCTGCGCGCGGGACGTGGCAAGCGCGCGACATCCCCGGAATTCCTGCGAGCGGGACGTGAAAACAAACATTTCGCCTGAGACATCCTATGAATTCCGGCCCCCCACGAGGCCCCCGCTCGAGACATCCCCCAAGTTTGCAAAACCAGCGTTTCGCTCGAGACATCCTCAACAAATTATGAAACAAACAAGCGTTTCGCTCGAGACATCGGGTCAAAATCCAAGGACATCCTGGCAAAACAAACGAATAGTCGAGACATCCTTTAAATTCCTGCGGGACGCGGCCCGCGCGAGACATCCTTGGAATTCCTGCGAGCGGGACACGAAAACAAGCATTTCGCCTGAGACATCCTCTGAATTCTGACCCCCCACGAAGCCCCCGCTCGAGACATCCCCAAATCTTGCAAAACCAGCGTTCCCCTCGAGACGTCCTCAACAAACTATTAAAACATGATGGACCCACGAACCCGGAAAGGGATGTAGACATGTGCAGCATGGTCACGTTTTCACGATATCCAACTGGGCGACACCTCACGAAACATCCCACGAGACACCCCGCGAAACATCCCAGGAGACACCTCACGAAACAACCCACGAGACACCTCACGAAACATTCCACGAGACACCCCGTGAAACATTCCACGAGACACCCCACGAACAGGCAACCACTCAACCAGACACCCCACGAAACATTCCACGGGGGTGCGACTGGGTGTGGTCGTGCTGGGGTGTGGTCGTGCTGGAGTATGGTCGTGTTGGGGTGTGGTCGTGCTGGGGTGTGGTCGTGCTGGGGGGTGGTCGTGCTGGGGGGTGGTCGTGCTGGGGGGTGGTCGTGCTGCGTGGGGGCGTGGTCGTGCTGGGGCGTGGTCGTGCTGGGGCGTGGTCGTGCTGGGGTGTGGTCGTGCTGTGGTGAGGTCGTGCTGGGGTGTGGTCGTGCTGGGGTGTGGTCTTGCTGGGGTGGGGTCGTGCTGGGGTGGGGTCGTGCTGGGGTGGGGTCGTGCTGGGGTGTCGTGTCGTGCTGGGTGTGGTCGTGCTGGGGTGTGGTCGTGCTGGGGTGTGGTCGTGCTGGGGCGTGCGTGCTGGGTGTGGGGGTGGGGTCGTGCTGGGGTGTGGTCGTGCTGGGGTATGGTCGTGCTGGGGTGGGGTCGTGCTGGGGTGGGGTCGTGCTGGGGTGTGGTCGTGCTGGGGTGGTCCGCACCCTGTGATTTATCGATCGGGTCGTGCTGGGGTGTGGTCGTGCTGGGTGTGGTCGTGCTGGGGTGTGGTCGTGCTGGGGTGGTGTGCTCGTGGTCGTGCTGGGGCGTGGTCGTGCTGGGGCGTGGTCGTGCTGGGGTGTGGTCGTGCTGGGATGTGGTCGTGCTGAGGTGGCCCGCACCCTGTGATTTATCGATCGGGATTTCAAAAACAATCGTTTCGCTCGAGACATCCTGTCAAATTCCCAAGAAATCCAAATACCCGCGCGCGGGACGCGGCACGCGCGAGACATCCTTGGAATTCCTACGCGAGGGGCGCTTTTCCGAGTCGCGGTCGGCTCTGCAAAACCAGCGTGCCGCTCGAGACATCCTCAACAAATTCTGAAACCAAGCGTTTCGCTCGAGACATCCCCAACTCTGCAAAACCAGCGTCTCGCTCGAGACATCCTCAACAAATTCTGAAAAACAAGCGTTTCGCTCGAGACATCCTCAAAAATAATTTCGCCGGCCTCCTTCGACCTCGATATTTATCAAAGAAAAATTTAGCCGGCCTCCTTCAAGTTGGGCACGGGGGGATATGTTTACATACTACAAGAAAACCCTGGGCCTTTGCCCTTTCCGGGAAAAAGCGTTTCGCTCGAGACATCCTGCCAAAATTCTAAGAAATCCTGACAAAACAAGCGAATTCGTCGAGACATCCTCGAAATTCCTGCGCGCGGGACGCGGCACGCGCGAGACATCCTCGGAATTCCTGCGCGCGGGACGCTCTTCCGCGTCGCGGTCGGGGCTCCAAACCCCGTTATTTGTCGAGGATTCTGCGAAAAACGCTCCGCACCTTTTTTTTCACGAGGGAAAACAGGGGTCTGCGGACCCCGTTATTTATCGAGGATCCGAGATGGGGGGCGCACTTTCCTCGAGCGGGCACGCACGAGACGCATTTTTTCTACTGAAAATCAGCACTTCACCTCGTTATTTACGCAGAATAATTTCGCTGGCCCTCTTCAAGTCGAAACCCGGGGGTAAACCAACTAAAAGATAACCCTGGGCCGACGCCCTGTCCGGGAAAAAGACACGAAGGAACAAACAAACCCAACGAGCCCTCAGCCCCAAGATGAGACCCGAGACCGCCAGCATGCGCCCAAGAAACCACCAGGAGGCCCCAAGAGGCATATGCAAAGAGGACCCAAGGGCCCCCAAACGGTACGGTCCTCAAGAGGCCTCAGATTTGCCCAATTACAAGAAGCTCCCCAAATGCTTCCGAGAAGACCCCTGCTGGCGCCCGATAAGCCTCTGACCCACAAGCCAGGCACGTTTGCGCGATGGGCCGAAGGTCACTGGACTGCCAACAAAAGCTTCAATCAGGCGCAGCCGAATGGCGAAACGGTGACTCTTTCCCTCTTCTGGGGGTCAACGTAATGGCGTGAGTCTCTTGAATAGGGGGACTCTGCTAGCTCTCAGGCGACGGATAGGGTTGGACGAAAAGGGGGGGGGGCAAAAGGAAAGTCAACGAATCAACTCACGCAACTGGTTATCCGGCGCCTCCCAGCGCCATAGGCGGCCCCGCGGCGGGGCCGAAGCCAGCTGCATGTAGCAATTGTCATGCCCCTCCCTCCCCCGATCCCCACCTCTCGTCCGCCCCGAAAGGAAGAGGGCGGTGAGGAGCAGGACGCGGATGATCACGAAAGCGCTCTTTTCTGGCGCCGTCGGATCGCAATGCGATGTCGCCCTGGCCAGGCAGACGCTCCGTCCGCTGACGTTCCGCGAGGGTCTGCAGGAGCTGCAGCATGACCCGCCGGTCGTGCCGCGCCTCCTGCACGTGCTCCTGCAGAGCGGCGTGGTCCAGGGCTGCCGCCTCCGTCAACCTCGCCACGTTCGCAGACGTCTCCCGTACGGTGGCTGCCAGGTTGCGCACCACGCCCGCAAGCTGCTCAACCACCTCGTGCAGGTCGGTGCCGTCCTCGTCCTCGAATTCGATGGATCTGCTGTGCTCGCTCTGCACGCGCCATGCCGCGGGCGGCGGCCGGCAGAGGCTCCCTGACTCCGCGGCGCAGTGCCCAGGAGGCTTCTGCGGCTCCTTGGCGGCGCCCGCCTCGTCGGTGGACGGAACCTCCTCTGGCCACTCCGGGCCGCTGGCGCACATCGTCAAAGCGATCCCCATCCCATATGACATGGCCCGCTGGCCCCACCGATCCATCGGTCGGAAAAAGCAGATTGGGTTCCCCCCCTCTCCCTGAAGAGTAAGAAGGACGCATCGGCCCGCTCTTGAAACTCCACCAGCCCTCTGGGCGGAGGTGGTTTAGGGCGTTTTCTCTTTGAATTTTCTTTTGACCCTTCGTCGAGGGGTTTATCCCTCCCCCTACCTCTGCTCTGGGTCTGGAGGGGAGGGGTTCGCGACCAATTGGGACGTCCAGGATGGCACCGGCTAGAAGGCAAAAGTCACTGACTCGAATCAGTGCTTGGACAATTGGGCCTCCAGGGGGGGGGCGAGTTAGGGACCCCCTTCTTTGATCGTTCTCCTCCAAGATGGCCCCCACGGCTCCCAAGAGTGCCCCGGGAGGGCCCCAAGAGGCGCCCAGGAGGCCCCAAGAAGCCCCCAAGAGGTCACCAAGTGGCCCCCCACGAGACCCCCAAGAGGCCCCAAGAGGCTCCCCCGAGGCACCCGAGACGGTCAAAGAAGCTTTTGGGACCGCCAAGAGGCCCCCACACGCCCACAGAGCACTCCAAGAAGCTCTCGAGAGATATCCGCAGAGACTTCGAGAGGCATCCACTTCTCGTCCTCGTCATCGTCCTCGTCCTCCTCCGCCTGTTCCTCCTCCCCCCTGTTCACCCTCCCCCATCCCCTCCGATTCCTCCCTCCGATTACTGTTCTATCTTGCCCCTCTTGGGATACGACGGCTTAACGTTACCCAGCCCATTTTTCCACTGCGTGCTCTTCCACATCCCTGATCAGGGCAGCTCGCCTTGGCATCGTTTCTGGATGGGTTTGTGGAGTTATGCGAAGCGTCTAGACGGGGATTCGTAAATCCAGCATTACCTACTTTCCACGACCGATGGTATAGATCGGGATCTGTGCACTTCACTTTTGGCCTCGTGGGGCATACCACCACACGGAAATGGGGTGGGGCATGGTGGGGCTGGGATACCGTGGCCCAGTGGGGGTGGTGATCGGGTTGACGATGCCGAGCTGACACCAACTGATGATTCAACTGCCGCAGCAACCGCGGGCACGTCGTCCTCCGCACCAGCCGCCAAGTCCTCGGACGGCGCCGCCTCGTCCTCGTCGGCCTCGGCGCCGGCCTCGGCGCCGGCCTCGGCGCCAGCCTCGGCGCCAGCGGGCGGGGCGCCGTCCTTCTTCCTGCGGCCCCTGGGCCGCCTCTGGCGCTCGGGTCCCGCCTCTGCTGGCGCAGGCTCGGCACGGTGGAAGAGCAGGAGCTCGGCCTGCTCGGCGGCGGGCCCGATTGCGGTCGGCGAGGCCGCCGCCGCCGCACCGCCGCCGAGCAGCGAGCAGATCGAGCAGCCCTTGGCCCAGCCGCCGCTCGACCAGAACACCACGCGCTCCGCGGCAGCGGGGAACTTGGTGGAGGCGTGGACCTCCATGGCTCCACCCGCCGCGTCCAGCAGCGACATGTGGATAGAGGCCTTCCGCCCAGGGTTCTTGTGTACGCCGAAGGCGGGCACCTCCCACGGGAACAGGCCAGCCACGAGAGAAGGAAGGGCATCTGATCGGAGAGAAGGGTCTCCGCTCCCGCGAACCGATGGCGAAGCGCGAGCATGCTGGCTGGCTGGGGGCGGGCAGACGTCGTCGAGCGTATTTTCTACCGGCCTCGGGGGGGTCCTAGCGGGCCCTGGAAGGTGGAAGGTGGTGGGGGGGGCGTGGAGTCCTAGGAAGGAACCGAAGGAAAGGACGGGAGGGATCCGGGGGCCCAGGCGGGACAGGACCTGGCCCAGGTCCCAACGGTGGCGGTGGGTCGAGGTCAGGAAATCCACTGTGTACGTAAGGCAAGGCACGGCGCTTGCGATTGGCTTCTGCTGTCGAGTCCAGAGCAGAGCAGCCTCTCACTCCTATTCGCGCCTGCGGAGGCTGTCGTATGATCAAAGGTCTGACCAACATGAGTCGCCCGCACCCTGATGATCTCCCCACAGGATGGGGTGGGAGGTGCGGGTGTGTGGCAGATGGTCAGCAGCAAGAGCAATAGCAGCAGCAAGAGCAAAATCATGTGGCCAGCCAGGTGTACCCCTGGGGTCTCCACCGACCTGCTCAGGCGTCCGCATTCCCCCAACAGGCCTCTCAGGCAGCAAGAGCCCACTGCCCCCACACACTCATTGCATCCAGGGGCGTGGGGGGGCGCGAACCTTGGGCCATTTCCACATGTGGGTGGTGGGCGCGAACCCTGGGCCCTGGATCAAGACAGGCGGAGCTGAGAGGAGCCGAGGCAAGAAGAGGGGGGAAGATGGATGATGGGAGAAGACAGGGAACAGTGGATGGGGGGAAGGGGAGAGGAGGTGACATGAGAGGGGCATACTGCTGCTTCGATGGCCCTGGGCGCCCATCGCAGGTACGCGGCCTCCACGGTGCTGCCCTGCACAAAATTGGCGTTCGCATACGTCTTCCCACAGAACTCGACGTCGATGTGGACGTGCACGTCATGGCTGGGCATCCCACAGGGCTGCCCACGGGCACCCGAACAGGCGGAACCACCTCGAGCAGCGCTGCCCCAAGTCAGTCCCCAAAGGGACGAGGAGTGGGACGACGAGCAGGAGCAGAAGCGGGCCCTTGTGCACACGCGCACTGTGTGCGGGGAATTGCGCCCAAATCGTATCCGAGTGCGGTCACGAGAGTCAGACAACAATAGCAGAACTATGTCCACAGCTCGAGCACAGAGACGGGACCCGAGTGAGTCTCCACAAGCACACAAGCCGCAGCTGGAATACATTGCTATGTTGGCCAAGACTGGCCTCCAATCATCAAACATCTGCAGCCATGCAAGCCTTGCTGCTGTGTTTGTCCCCTACCGCGGAGCCACCAAGAGAGAATACGCTACCAACACACAGCCTGGCAATAGGGCAAACACGACACATGTCTGTTCGGCTCCGAGCTGCATCAAGCCAATGGGGTAAAGCAAATTAATCGCATCAGGAAATGACAGTGGTTCGGCGGATAAACATATTCGGTCAGACGAAACATAGTATGTGTTAAACATAGCTGACGTCCACCGACCCTGCCGGCGATTGGATGACGCCGTCGTCGTTGTCGTCGTCGTCGCCATCGCCGCTCCCCCCGCGTTTCCCCGGGCCCTCCTCTTCAACCGCAAGCCACCAGGAAATTGAGAAAAACGAGGGTCCAGTCGAAGGGAAGCCCCTTCCCTTTGATCCCTTCCCCGCCAGAGGGGGGGTCCAAAGGGGTGGGGTGGGGGGGATCCCAAATCAAAATGCTATCCTAAAGAGGTCGCCACCAAAAGTCCCGTGAAACGATCGCGGGGGGGGTCCCGGGGAGAGGGTCCTGGGGAGGGGTCCTGGGGAGAGGTCCAGCCGCAAGGCCTTCCCAATCAGGCTGTGACCTGCAAGTTCGAACTCTGTTCCAACAATGGACGAGTGAAAGATTACGGGCCCCACCGTGCGCCTCAAACGGTGATGCCTTCCTTGTAGGGAGCCAGGCGAGGCGCCAAGGGGAAGGTCGAAATGACGTCAGCACTCCGGGTGGAGAGGCTCAAAAGTAAGACAAGACAGCGAAAGGCCCCCCTCCCAGAGCCAGATAAGGCAGGCTACAACAGAAACAAACAGCAACTTTGCCCCACACTTAAATGCCACGCTTTCCGAAAGAAAGTTCCCTAGGAGACGGATGACCTGGAAGATGAGGAAGATCCACCTTGGTGCTGCCTGGGAGACGCAAGATGCGAACATGCTAACATTTTCGAACCAACAACAATATGCGGGTCCAGCGAAAATGTGCCCACAACCGCTTGACCCCCGCGACCACAGAGGACTAGGAGAGAATCGGCAAAGGGAGGAGAGAGATGTCATACCCAACATATCTCACCATTGTGGAACCATGCTGCTTGGAAACCTGATCCAAAACAACGAGATGGTTGACAATGATTGCTTATCACTGATGTGGGTGACAATGCTTTTGATTATGCTGACAATGCCGACACCAATGATGAACACGATGGTGGTGATCCTGACAAGGAGTGTGGTAATGAATCTAATGAGCTCGCCGAGGGCGCCTCGTTCGTGGCGGTCACAATGTACGAGGCCGCGGCCGCTGGGTCCTCGTCTCGGCGGAGGACGCCGCGGAGGGGGAGAGGGGGAAGCCCCCCCCCCTCATCCCTGGCGAGAGAGGATCATGAGCGGCAGCGGCCTCACGCCAGCCTTGCCGTCGTCGTCGCCCTCGTCGTCCACGTCTTCCCACCCTCCCTCCTTGCTCCGCCTCCTCCGACCTTCTACTCGTCCGCCTCCTCCTCCACCTCCTCCCTTCTCCACATCCTCCGCCCTCCTCCCTCCTCCCTCCTCTTGCCTCTCCGCTGCGGCCCACGACCACTAGCGACACTCTCTCGCCGTTATGCCGCTCCTCGGGAGATCCTCCCGAATCTCCCAGCCAACGGGGCCTAGGCAGGCGCAGGAAGCCGCCGCCCCTTACACCCCTGTGGGAGCCCGTCGCATCGACGACCTCTGGAGACGGATGTCGAAGCCAGCGGGTTCCCCAGGGGGGTGACTACCGCAGCTCACCGCGGCAGGTTTGCGGATGAGGAACAACAAAGCTTGGAGGTTCCAAAACGGTGCGCTGTGTGACCGTGCGGCGGCCGTGTCCTCACCGCACAGTCCGTCACCACACGGTTTTGGAGACCATGGAGGCCCCCATCGCCCGAGACACCCTCGGAGGACAACCCAAGTCCAAAAACCGAGCGCTCACTCCTTATCACCACCGACTCTCACCCGACAGTGTGGTCACTGCACAGCTTTGGGACTTCAGACAGGCAGGGGAAGAAAAACGAGCCAACGTTAGAATCAACTTTCGAAGGTCCGCGCGGATTTCTTCGTTCGGCGCTGGACACCCCTCCCTGGCTCGCGGAGCGCGCCAGTGGCGGCACCGGAGGCACCAGGATCCAGCGTCGGTCCCAAAAAATCAACGCAGACCTCCGAAAGTCTATGCTCATGCCGTTGCTTCCTCTTTGATAGCCCGAGGAAAGGGGGAAGACGGGCAAAGGGAGAAGGTATGAGCAGGCCAGCTCAGAGCACTCCCACGACGGCGCGGCTCGCGGAGGCGCCTGGCGCCCAGCCGCCCTCCGACACCCTGTCAAACAACAGGCGGCCCCATAGTCAGAAGCCAAGACCCGCCATGCAAGCCGGACTGGCATACGCCTCATCTTCTCCCTTACCCTATTCCTACCCCTCCCTCTGCAACTGACAGCCCAGTGCCTGCCTGACTAGAGCCTAATTGCGACGGATGGCCTCTAGAGGCCGAGTGTGAGATCTCACATGCATACAGATCCGGGCGCACCAGGAGCCCCAATTTTGCGATAATCCGCGTTTCACGGCGTATCGTGTTCCCCACTCCGTGGGCAGCCTAGCCATGCTGAATGGTCTCCCCGAGAGCCCTCGTAGAGCCCCAAGCCCGAGAGGCTCCTTATATATATATATATATATATATGTATATATATATATACATATATGTTTCACATGTTTCCAAAACGCTTGTTCCGAAACCGTCTTGGCTCAAGCCTTTGACAACGACCGAGGGTCGCTGGACTTCTCTGGTGTGTGCCTTCGAGGCGCAAGACTGCGAGCGGCCCGCAACAGTAAACAGCTCCCTTCTATCACCATCGCGCAAGCAGCCTCGCGCTCCCCACTGCCCGTATATCCCCGAGAACAGCATCAATGAGAACAACACGTTGACAGGAGAGAAGAGGAGAGCAGCATCCAAGGATTCATCTCAGGGCAGTGGTTCTAGCGGGACTATTGAATGGTCGCGGAGCTGACAAGCTCCACGGACTACATATTCACGGATCACATTGTTCTACAATGGAGACGGCATCGCACCTAAGCGGAATGAAGACCTCACCACGGTGGATGACTACGAGAGAGACGTCAAGACCTATATCCAAGGGACTCGGCGAGATGAACGAATGGACACAAGAGCTCGACAAGCTCCCAGGGACGCCCACTGGGACCGTATCAGAAAATACGACGGCGCTACCGAATTGCTCCGACACGTGCGAGCCAAGCTCGGAGCTCAGCCCATCCAGGACGCAAGATAACCTGGCCAGAGGGGTCTTCGATCTACGCCGAGACACTGGAGACCCGATGCCGAATTACATCAGCCGAGACGACGAGGCCTGTCATGACGTGGTCAAGGGATTCAACACCGAAAAATCCAAGAAGCAGAGGACGTAGCGTCTCTCACTATGGGCAAAGGAGTGGAATGATATCTATTCAGATCTGGTCTGGTGTCTGTACAAGCTCAAGCTAGAGGGCCCCGAGGACGATGCCGAAAAGGCAAAGGAGTTAAACCTGAAGCTCTGGACCTTCATCAATAATACACTTGAGGAGATCCCGAGCACCCCGACTTCGGAACCGACTTTAAACAAGCGATTCCCCTTGACCAGCTCCGCGGATAGTTAGTGCTGCAGAGATCCAGATTGTCCCCGACCGAGCGAGCAGCGGTGATCAGCGCGGTGAAAGGTAACTTCGGCTACACCAGCATCGGAGAGCACTTGCGAGTATCCTGGCCAGAAGATGAGCTGACGAATCGAGACAAAAAACAGGGCAAGGACCACCGTCACCGGGATCGTGGCAGGATTCATGCAGCCTGGGACCAAGACGATGATGACAATGACGACGAAGACGGCTACGGCTACCAAGAGGAATCGAATGCCTCCTACGACACCCAGCTGGACGATGATAATATGAGAATCCCGAGGAGCCCCTCTACAGCGCCCAGGAGATAGAGGAAGACGAGACGGCCTCTGCGGCTCAGCAGCGTAGTTTTGAGGAGGCTCGAGACCTGCTTCGACGAGTAAAGACAGCGAGGAAATTCTACCCCGTGAATGAGGAGAAGAAGCGCAGCCCCCACGACAAGAATTCCAAACAACGCGGACGAGGAGACGGACAACGACGTGACCGACCAAATTCCAAGAAAGGTGACCGCTCCCGTCCCGCACGTAAGGGCCCGTGCTTGAAGTGTGGAGGTAATCACGAGACGAAAGACCACAAAGATCGGGCTTCGTCAACCGGCAGCCGAGGAGATCGAGCTCGATGTCGACCCAAGGAGGGTTTCTCTAGCTTCGTCTTCTTCAGACCTCAACAGGATGCGGAGAACGAGGCCAACCTTATCAAGCATGACGCGTCGATCTACGAGCTGGAGCAAGCACTATCGCCGGACGCGGACCTCAACAGAGGTACATGTCTGGGTCGTCAGGTGGCCGCGCCCATCTGGGCGACCCTGGAGGAGGGCGTAGAGTGGATGCTCACGAGCGTGAAGCAGTCCGCCTCCAAGGGTTTGTCATCCTGGACATCGGCGCTACCTCCGGCATCATGGGCATAGAGGCCGCCCAGAAGCTACGTGACATCATCTACGAGCAGACGGGCAAGAAAATCAACATGGACGTCAACCAAAAATCAACCTTCATCTTCGGCGACAGCAACTTCAAGACCTGCACCGGCAAGGCTACATTTCCGCTGAAGATCGCCGGTGTGGAGGGTGAGCTCGAGATCAACATAATGTACGCCGACGCTCCACTCCTGATTGGAGTTGATGTCTTAAGCCGCCTTGGCGCTGTGATCGACTGCGAGGCGCAAACTGTCTACTTCAAGAAGCTCGGACGCCGAGCGCAGCTGCTCGCCCTTCCGAGCGGCCACCTTGCACTGCCACGTGTATTGCAAGCCGATGTTGGCTTTGGGGCCACCCTCAGCTAGGAGTGCGCGCCCTCGACACCAGAGACTGCTACGGTGCAGGAGGGAAAATGTAAAAAGAGCAGCCAATCGACAGCGGATGCCCAATTGCTACTGCAGATGATCCCCGAGAACTCCCAGGTGAGACCCCCCGGAAGTGAAGCCCCAAAGGCCCAGGTACATCATCATTACCTACAGCTACGGGGACATCATCATTACCTACGGGGACCACATCATGACCGACGTCTACGGGGACATTACCATTACGTACAACAACGCGGAGATCACTATTACCTACGCCTACGGGGACATCATCATTCCTACGTCGCAGGCATCATCACCAGCTACTCCAACCTGCTATATGGCATCATCTGCTTCTTCTACAAATGACCTTCCCAATATCCCCGCGTTTCCAGAGCTCCAGGCCCCAGTGCCACCATCTTCATAATCCTCATCCGCGAGGCGAAATGCCGCAAAGCAGAGAGCCAGCAAGTGAAGCTGGAGAACGAGGAGATGGAGCCATGGGCGTGGGAGAGGTTGCCACCTGTGGGCCTGGACCAGTACAAGGACATGAAGCGGATGTCGGAGACCTTTCTGCTGGAGCACCTGCCTCTCTGGGAGGTGGGTCGGCAAGAAGCTGCTGTCGCGGACGACGTGCCGCCGCTGGCAGCGACTCGTACTGAAGACCTTCCTGAGGACGGTACACTTCGAGAGGTGGAAGCTGGACAGCTACGGCCTGCCAGTGCAGCTGCTGCCCACCAAGTACCCGACTTGGCTGGCGGAGATTTGACATCGGGAGATGGAGACTCGCAGCCCGTGCAGGCAGTCAAAGAAGTCGGCCGCCTCAGCCGTGCCGAGCCAGCAGAACAAGGAGCTGCGCGACACCATCGAGAGCGCAAAGTCCGCCGCCCCCCCCCCCTTGCGGGGCAATCAGGCTGCGAAGATTAAGCTCTCATGCTCCCTGCACCAGTTCCAGTTTCAAGTCTCCCATATTACAGTCCTGCCTTCTGCTTCCTACCACGCCCAGATCGCGTCGTCTGCGTTCCTGGGGGGGGGGCGTGACACACGTAAAAACACATGATATTTGCGTCCCCGAGGCCACAGTCCCCATTCAATCACACCATATTCGCGTCCCCGAGGCCATAAACCGAATAACTTACTCAATATACGCCTCACCGAAATCAGAACCCCTCGCAATTACTCTATATTTGCGTCCCCGAGGCCACAAACCCTAGTGAATTACTCAATATTCGCGTCCCCGAGACCATCAACCCTCGTAAAGGATACAATAGTTGCGCCCCAGAAACCATAAACCCTTGAGCAGATTAAGCAATATTCGCATCCCCAGGGCCACAAACCCTCGCAAATTACAACATATTCG